TGCAGCTTACACAGCATGATGCCATGATGCCCGGCAGGCTGGCTCCAAGGTCCTTCGTTCTCTGTCCTCCTAAAGCCTGATTAAATGAGGCATCCCCTCCTCTGTCCCTCGGCAGCCAGCTTGGAGTGCTTTCGCAACAAGGTCGTGATTAACAGACAAGCATGTGGTTCTTCTGTTTCCCTCTGGGCGTTCTTTCTCCCACCCCATCTTTAATCTTTGCAATAGATGCTTCTGAGGCCCCTGGTGGCCACAGCCTCTGAAGGTCAGCTGGCCAAGGCAGACAAGAGGATAGGGGGCATGGTGGCTGGTTTCTTCTTTGATTGGCAGCTTGGAAATTTCAGCTGGAACCCTGTGCCCACCGCCATGTCCCCCACTACTCCCACTTCACTTCTTCCTCAGATTAGCTGAGTGCTTCAAAATAGTGCGGAGACCCATGGATTCAGAACTGCAAGACAGAAGGGTTCTGACGGCACTCAACACACGGAACCATGCACCTCCCCGCAACACGGCTGTCCTATGTGAAATGGGAAGCAACAACCAAGTTATGAGAAACCATTAAGAATTGAAAGCATATCATTAACCTATTAACTAAAATCAGGCTTAATCCACTCGCTTAAAAATATCAAGGCCCTATTATATGTGTAGTATTATGCTTCATAGGCATTTGGAGGCCATATAATAAAAATGATGCATATTCTTTGGGAGACACCAGATATACTTAGGAAGAAAAGGTTCTGTAACTCAAGGCAATGTATCTTGTGTCAAAATGAGTAACCCAGACAATCGATGCTATAAGACCAGAAATGGTGGTCTTAGTGTGTGTGTGTGTGTGTGTGTGTGTGTGTGTGTGTGTATTCTGTGTGCACATACAGTCTATTATATATGCCACTGATACAAATACCCTGTATTTAGCACTAATCCCAATTACAGTCATATGGTCACCTGCCCAGTTATACATTTAATATCTACTCCTCTCCCAGAATGAAGCTCCATGAGAGCCGAGGGCATTTTTTAATTCCCTTGTTTGGCTCCCACATTAATGAGTAAAACATTATTTCAGTCAGAATTACACCAAAAGCAACAATTTTGTTAACTTTTTGACAGTGTCATTTAACCCAATTTAATTTCTTGATTGACTTTCTATGCAGTACAGTCAAACCTTTTTTCTTTTTCAAAATATCATTTCTTTTTTTTTTTTTTGGAAGTCATTTGCATTGGGATCAATTTTCCAATTAGATTCCTAACAGTTTTTATGCATACAAAATGTTTTCTGATCATAGCTTTTGCCACTATGGTATTTTAATGGATTTTATCTACCGATTTTACTTTTCTCAAATCCAATTTGTACTTAACTTGTTACGCAGGAAATTTGAACTGTGGGCTATCCTAGTCTAGCCTTGAGCAGTTTTGCCACACGTAGTCCTAGTTTGCACAGCTTTCTCTGTTGTCTATACCCATTTGAAAGCAATATGTGGATCTATTTTTGTCATTAAATCACAGTGCCCTGAGACCCCTGATTCAAAGAATGCAGTGGAGGGCCTGGGGTTGGCTTGAGGCGACAGCAGAGTGAGGGCACATGTCAATGGGGACAGAAGGCAGGGCTGCAGAGCTCGGCAGTGGATGTCAGCGTGACTCCCTGAAAGGCCTGCTGACACCAAGCTGCCATGGCAGCAGATCCTAGCTTGGGGCCACTTTCCACTCCTCCCCCTCCTCACAACTGAAACGAGAGAGGATAAGAACGGGCGTGATCCTCAGCTCCCCATCCACATGAAGCTCCAAGGCTTTCTCTTACAACAGCTGTTCCTAAAGTGCACCGCCCAGACTACAACAGCATCACCTGAGTCTGTATTAGCAATGCAAACTCTTGCACCCTCGCCCAGATGTACAGTATCAGGCAGTCTGGGGGTGGGGCCCAGAAATCGGTATGTAACAAACTTTGCAGGTGACTCTCATGCATGCTAAAATTGAAGAACCACAGAATCATGTGCAGCTACATTGCATGTGAAATGGGACAGGAGGAAACTATCCAGAAAGATCAAACATTTACCTCAAAGAAATCAAAGACTAAAATGTCCTTCAGATAAGATCAAGTCTTTCTTGATCCTTGTTCTCAGGTTCATGTTATAATCAGAGTCCATAAGAAATTTTAGCTCACTTGCAAAGATATAGAGAAATCTGTGAATTTGCCTACTTCACCTGTACTGAATATATGTAAGTGAGTTAGTATGCTATTAAGTCTCAATCCGCTCATCCATGTTTCTGCTGTGCTAGGTACCAGGAGATCTGTGGAGGCCAGAACAGACATGGCCCACCAGCCTAATGGAGAATAGAAAACAGGCAGTGACAAGCACACTGTAAACGCTTTGGTGAGCGAAGTGCAGAAGCATGAGAGTGGTTCACCGAGCTGGGAGTTGGGGGAGTTGGTGAGTCCAGAAAGATTTTGTGATGAAAAGAGGTGCACACTGTGACCTGAAAGATGAGTAAGATGGGTGGGCCAGGGGGAGAAGGGTGTGGAGGAGCACGGGATGGGGCTGGATGTGAAAATGTGCGCCAACCTACGAAGGGCTTCCTAAGCCATACTAAGTCTGAGCTTTATCCAGAGGATGTGCGCAATCCTCAGGTTTTAAACAGGGGAAAGGACACACTTTCAATAATGTCACTGTGGCCGCAGCACAGAGGGGGGATGTAGGACAGATGCCTGATGGCAGTGGCCTTAATTAGAAAGTAGTGATGCAAAAGGAGAAAGTTTAAGGAGCTTGCTGGAAAAAACAATGACAGTTTAAAATATGTGCCTGAGTTCATTGCCATTCCCATCACCAGAAGATGGGAGGTATGATCCCTCCCTTTCAATCTGGGTGAGCAGGTGACTCGTGGAAGTGATGCCATGTAATTTTGAAGGCCAGATTAGACAAGTGACAAGAGCTTCTATCTGGTTCTGGTGGACAGTTACTGCTACCAGCAGCCACCATGGTGTGAGGAAGCTGTGTAGACATTCCAGTCAGTCCTGCTCAGGTCTTGGCCTCAACTATTACAAATATTACGTGAGGAAGCCTTTGAGCTGACTCCTGTCCCAGCCATAGCTGGCTGGTGACTTCACCCACATTAGGCCTTGAGAGAGGACTGCCTGCTGACCCGTCAGTTCCTAGGTTAATGAAGAATAAAAATAAAATGACTAGTGTCATTCTAAGCCACTAAGACTTGAAGTGCTTCTGACACAGCAATAGATCCCCAGAATGGTCCCTAGCATCCCCCAATTCAGATCTCTGTTTCTTTCTCTACTGTACTCACCATCCTGGTATACAGACTCTGAGGCAATCGATATCTACAGTAAGTAAAAACAGGCACCTCCCAGGGAATCGAGGGTTAAGATGCTCTGTTCAATCAAATAGTCTCATTAACAGAAGCAGATAGCAAATTATTGACTACTAAGAAGCACGGGTTTTGCAAATTACCAAATTTTAAGGAATAAAATGCCCATCACAGCAGATAGGGGACATTTTTTCTATGGCTTTAAGACTTTAAAAACATTATTTGAAGGTGAACAATGTGCATCTTAGCCACCTCTGTCATAAAACTTCCGGGAACAAACAGAATGGCCCAATTTTTGGTCAGACAAGCATCAACACAGAGCGGCAGGGATTGGGAAGATGCTCTTTATTGATCTTTTTTGTGTGTGCTACTGACTGGTTGTTTAACAACAACCAGGGCCACATTCCCCCAGGGAATTATAACCACTTAAATGCTCTTTGCGTATGTTAGAGAGAACCCAAGATCAGCTGGGAGACAGGAAGTATGTCCTATTAGTCCCCAAGACTTGGAAGATACAGAAATCCAAGTGTTCTGTTTTTTTTTTTAACAAAACACCAGACTTACACAGAAGCCATTAAATTCTTTTGAAGGCAAAGAATTTCTCACTTTAAATAGAACTATCCAGTGCTTCGCAGACCACAAGGGAAGGAAATTCACTTGATATTTCTATACTGGACCAAGCCTCTGAGATAGGTAAGACTATCCCTATTTCCCCAAATGAGCAAAGTGAGGCGTGCCATGGCCACCCATGAAGTCATAGGAGCTTAACAGTATTCACTCTTAGAGTTTCCTTTCCTCTTCTGAAGAAATAAAATGTAATACTCTGGGAAGGACACTAAACTAGGAATCTAGATTTTAATCTCGGCTCCACCACAAATGGGTTATGCTAATTTGGATACATCATTTCCTCAACCTGGATGGAGTTAATCGGGAATGAAGCTGCCTGTTGAAGCTGTCTGTACCTCGGGTCTCTAGGACAATGCCACTGCCTCTCACAAGTCTGGCAGGGCCCCATGAGACGTGTGCACAGCTCAGGCAGCTGACGCACATAGCGACTTGACCTTCGCTAGAGATAATACAGACAATTTTCTCTTGTCCCTGAGACTGCTGTTCTAATGGATTAGATATTCTTCCTGTCCCAATTCCTACCCTCCCCTTAAACTCCCCATGAGCTTATTATATAATTAAACATGCCGCAGGTGCTGGGCAGTTCACTTTCTCTCATCAGGAAAGAGGGCTAGACCTGATCTTACATTTTGTCTATTGATTAATGTCTTTCTTTACCCGCCGCACTCCTCCCTCCAAAGTTTCAAGAGCTGCACTGGACAAGACAGATTCAGAAACTTCTTCCTGCTCTAAAATTTCTAATTCTATGCACAATTCTTGTCTCAGAATAACAATAAAGTGAACGGCTTCACACTGGAAGTAGCGCTGAAGAGTCTGAAGAGTCTTAACATGTGCTGCTGGGCTGGGCCTTCAGAAACAAAGGCACAATCTGGTGGGGTCAACATACATTTTCTGCACATTAGGGACCACATACGTATAATTCATTAGATGCTGTATATCAAATCATCCCATGTATGAGGAAGCTTTGACTTGTTCTCATGACACAAGTTTTGCTGCTGTTTTTAAATAAGGCACCAAAAGAGAAGATAGTTATTAACAAATGAGATGAACCACAGGACCAAATATTTATGATCCATGTAGAGAACTAAGCATCATATGGTTTTTATTAGTGTTTTATTTTTGAAAAGCACATGGTATACTCATGACCAAAGCAATGATCATTGAAATTTTGCTCACTGGTTATAAAAGCTAAATACTGGTTTGGTTTGTACAGTAGATAAACACAATCTCAAGAAGTTTACTCAAGTACCTTTTTATTTCTCTTATTTTTGAGAAAACTTGACTGTAATGAACCTTGGATAAAAATTTCAAGTCATTATGCTAACCCATAAAGGCACTATTATTTGCAGGTGGAACAACGAGGGCTCAAGTGTCCTGTTCAGGGTTAGATAATTAAACAATGGCAGAGCAGGGAGAAAATCCTTGGCTAAGGGGCTGGGGATTTAGCTCAGCGGCACAGCACCTGCCTGGCAAGTGCAAGTCATGAGTTTGATTCCCGGTACCGGAAAAAAAAAAAAAAAAAAAGAAAATTCTTGGCTGTTTCCCAATATGGTAGGAGAGGGTTTTGGAGCTCCTAAAATCAGCAAGGGTATTATTACAAGCAATCACTCCTTTGACAAACAGGGAAGATCACACTTCCAGTGTATTTCATCCCTGATGATGTTTGATGGACCCTATTCAGGTACTATAAGCTACACTGAAGACCCACTCATACTCCTTCTTCAGCGGTGACACAAGGGGATGATTGCCTTTGAGGAAGCTGAGCTGTCTTTGCTTCATCCAGATCTTCAAGGTAGCACAACAAAGCAACTTCTCTAGTCAGCACGTCACCACTCAATGAACTTGTGACATGGGGAGCCCAGGTGTTACCACAATATCCACTGAAGTAAGATGCCTGATTTCTTAGAGAAGCCAATAAATAATTCACCTGAAGCAGGCCCCACAGACCTAGAGGCAAGTTGGAAAGAGGGTTACTCGGCCAACAGGGACTGGCTTAGGGGCTGCAAGGTCCGCTGGCTGACTCTCCTCCTGTTTAGTAGAGGTGTGTGAGACTTCTTGTCCCTGGGGGTGCGGCAGAGCAGGGCATCCAGAGTGCAAGAAGTCACCTGGCCATGTATATGCAGTTTCTCATAGATCTCATCAAATCTGGCTGCAAGGGTGGGCACGTCCTTCACTTTTTCCCTCACTTTGGCCAGCTGGAAAAAATAAAGAACAGATCACCACAGCTATGCAAAATATCTTCCTTGTCCTTCTACGCTCTAAGCAGAGTCAGACATGCAAAAAATAAATACTGCACACTTGAAATGATGAGAACCAGGGTACTGGGCACCAGAGACATGAAGAGAGTCCACAGACTACACAAAAAATTCAGAATTAGTACATGAAAACCATACTGAGTATCTTAAGAAAGGTAGTTCAAATGGTATCAATCTACAGTGCAGCATACAGGAAAGACAGCCAAATATCAATTGAATTGACTTTGTTCAATGTAATGATTAGAGTAGGAGTTAGGGCTAAATTACATACAGGTTTATATACAGCCTGTGGCAATTTTTTGGAATTTTTTTTTTGTACCGGGAATTGAACTCAGGACTTTGCGCTTGCCAGGAAGGCACTTATACTGCTGAGCTATATCCCCAGCCCAATTTTTTGGAATTTGTAAAAGCCATCAGGGCATCTCCAATGGGACATAATCTGATTTACATTTAAAAGCTGTATAGAGAATGAACAGTAGAGTACAGGAATGTGAACACTATTTCAGAGACCGCACTGTATCCCAGAAAAGAAAGGGTGGTAGTTAGAGTGGGAAGTATACAGAATGATGGAGAAGCTGGTATATGTGCGGGGTATTTTGAAGTTTAAACTAACATTTAATGTCCCCAATTTGGGCTTTTGCAACTGGATGGGTGCCATCATTTATTAAGACAGAGAAGTCAAGGAGGATCAAATTTGAAGGGGAAAATCCAGAGTTCTGCTTTGGACAGGATTGAGACACCTGTAAAACATGAAGGTGGATGTTTTGAGAAGGCTGATGGATATATAGGCCAGGGGCATAGAGGAGAGGCCTAGACCAGAACACAAATAGATGGTATATGGTATTTAATTCTGCAAAAATGAGTGAGCTCAGAATTAAAGCGTAAAACTACTTTCTGAACAAAATCAACATTTTACCTAGTTCAATCCTTATTAAACATATAATCGAACAACATTTTAAAATGAAAGTGGGATCAAGGTCCCTAAAAATCCTTTGGTCATCTTCCAAATAAATTATAATTTTATTTGCCATCTGCACGTCTTCCTTTCAAACAATGGCTCCCAACCAAGCATTCAGGTAAGCAGCTTAAGCTCTTCTTAAAGAATAGCTTGTTTACCCCTCACGTTGAAGGTGAAATGACTTAATGTGAAATATATGGGTTCCAAAAGCAGTGAACATGCCAAGCTGGAGGGAGCTTGGATCTAGCTACATATACTAATCAGTTCTATTGCTACACAACTACTTAGTGGCATTGTGAGAACAATGCTACAATTTATGCAGAAAGGGCACTATATTGTACTCTTTGTTAACTTAGTTTTAAAAAGGAAATCAATGAAGAAACAGCTAATGTTTCACTAACAGTATTAGAGAAAATCAACAATTCTTTTCACTATTCCTCTAGTGGTATGATAGCACCTATGGTAGTTTATAACCCTGTCTTCACACGTAATGCATCTTTAATAACTCTTAGAATAAACATTAAATTCAGCATTTGTAAATGCAGAGCTTTACAGTAAGATTCCACATGCAGCCTCTCATACTTACTTACCTTTAGAACTAGCTCATAAGCTACTTGAGTTGTATGAATCAATTCATTCATCTATGAATCAACTCATTTCTCATCAAACAATTCCAGGAATCATCTCGTGATAACCAGAGGGAATGCACTGCATCAGAAAGTTAGTTTTCTAACTAAGAATCTCTCTTTTTTTTCTTTTTTGGTACCGGGAATTGAACTCATGACCTCAGGCTAGCCAGGCAAGCACTTATGCAGCTGAGCTATATCCCCGGCCCACTAAGAGTCTTCTATTGGAATTTTTTAGTGTGGGGTTGGTTTGGACGCTTCAGTCATACGAACAGGTGACAACAGGTCTAAGGAATGATTAACATCAACACTGCTGAGAAAACTGCAGTTGATCAGTCCTATGTAATCATACACACTGCGTGTGCTTCAGTGTGTACACACGTACACAGCGTCTGCATTTTAAAGTCTGTTCACATTTCCAGTTTCCATACTTTCCTAAACTTACTCCAAAATGGTTTGGGTGGGTCACAACCTACACCGAGCAAAGAATGAAAGAAGCTTTAAGTTAATCATATCCAGTTCACTTCCTGGCAAACTCTCTTCACAAGCGCGAAGAAGAAGCCTTTGGGCAGAAGTGAGGAAATGATGGGGAGGACTGCGAAGGCAACTGTGTGAGAAGGGAGAAAGCAGCCCCCTGCCCCTCAGGCCAACCCTGCCAGCTCGGCCAGCAGGCTGGAGCAGGACGATGAAGGCACAGGAGGGAGCTGACAGAGGGAAGGAGGGGGCGCTAAGCTGCAGGCCACTTTGTTAATCAAAGTGACAATACCAGTATCATTGCTAAGCATGTGCCTGTCAGCAGTTTGATTTCTTCAGTCCTTTTCTTCCTACAGTTATACACTATTAAAGATGCATGTGTGACGTATTTCAAGTGGCCAGCAGTAATTCTTTCTCGTGCCCTTAAATCCTCCATGTGGCAAAGGGGTTAATTTGCTTCATTTTGCTTTCATTTTTAGAATTGTTTTTTCTGTTCATCTTGTTTTATAATTCTGCAAAACATTTACTTTGTTCCAAAATCAAAGATACAAATGAAGTACACTGAGGGAAGTCACATTTCCATGCTGTTTTATTAAGTTGTGGTATTTCCACCTGTTCTGTTTTTAAGTCTGAAGAGTTCTGTGTCATTTAATGACGAGGATATCATCTCAGAGACGCGTCACTAGGCAACTTCATCGTTGTGCAGATGTCAGCGTGTACTCAGACAAACCAAAATGGTTCCACGTACCTCACAAGGCAACACAACCTACAGGACCACTGTCCTATATGTGGCAGATGTTGACCAAAATGGCACATGTGGCACATGACTGTGTGTACAGAAATATGTATCTACCCTTCTCAAAGCAACACACAGATTTTCTCCTTGCTTTTCTTATTAACTTATTAAAGTGGTCCAGACAGAGTGATTCACAGTAAATGTGCTGCACTTACTCATTTCCCTTTAGAAGGGTACAGCAGTCCTTCACATGAATGTGCCCCGGTTTGTTCACCAAGTCTTCTGCAGATGAAAATGTGGGTTGTTCCCAGTGTTTTGCTATTATAAACTCGCCTGCAACCAATAGCCTTACACATACAATTTCCTGCATTCTTGCCCGTGTATATTTAGAATATTTCCGAGAAGTGGGAGGTTGACTGAAAGGGTAAATTCATTAGTAATTTTGATAAACTGCAAACCATCGAGATTTCTACTCACCTAAAGCCTGAGTGGTAACACAAGGTAAAGACATTTTATATTTGTCTTAATATGAGCAAGGCTGAGCATCTTTTCAAATGTTTGATGGCCATTCACAATTCTTTTTTAGTGAACTCTGTATCTCTTACGCATTTTTCTTTATAGAGTTGTTGGTACTTTTCTCACAATTTTCAAAAAGAGCTCTTTATATATTAAGATTAGGTAGCTCTTTGTATGACGAACATTGAAAGTATTTTCTTCCAATTTGTTGGAATTTGACTTTGTTATGGTGTTTTTCCCACACCAAAAAATTTTAGGCAGTCAAATTTATCAATTTTCTCCTTTGTTAACTTGGATTTTGACTAAGAGATGAAAGTTTTCCTGCCCCCAGGATATAAAAGAATTCATTAATGTTTATATCTAGCACTCATGTCATTTTACTTTTAAAATTTAATGTCTTATCCATTTGAAATTTATTTTGGTTTGTTGCACAAGAAAAATAAAACTTGATTGTTTTCCACTGGCTATTTATCCTAGCACCACTTTTCAGAAAAGTCTATCTATTCTGATTGATATGAGATGCTGACCTTTACCCTCTTCTAAATCTGTATATGCAGTTGAATTTATCTCTGCATTTTCTATTCTGTCTCATTCATTGGCTTAGTCAGAGCTAAACCAGTCTGGCTTACACAAGCTTTAACATCTGCTAGGCCTAGTACTTATTTTGCTGTTTTGTTACAAGATTTTCCTAGGTAGTCTTTCTTTTTTCTTCAATGGGACTTAAACTACCAAAAAAAAGTGAGTTTTTTTTTTTTTTTACTTTTGGGATATTATCATTTTAACACGTTAACTTAGAAGCACTGACTTTTTATGAGGTTGAACCTTCTTACCGAAACACATGGTATATCTTTTCATTTGTAGGAGAAAATTTTTTAAAGATGAGAGACGCTACCATTTGCTGAAAGGAATGATCCATGGGGAGGAAGACACTGACGATGCCCATGAGTGAGACATGGCCAAGGCTGAGCCTAGAGCAGGGCAGAGCCCGGCGGCCAGGGCCCAGCTGCAGAGACTGGCTGTGGAGTTGTGCACAGTCTCTGTGGGTGGACGGGAAGAAGCTGGAGGACGGCAGCGTGGTTTCACCCTCTCCTGACAGCTATCTACCCCAGGTGACCAACTGAGAGTGTGAGAGAGGATAAATGTACTGCAGGCATGGAGAGAAAGGGAAAAGGTCATCCCAAAGAAAAGTGGCGAGGAGGCCCATGAAATGGTCCAGATAAAGGAGTAATGGAAATGAAAAGTTTCCCCTAACGTTCACAGGGCGTACTCTGTTGGAAGAAAAAATTATCTGCACTCACATAGAAGCCGCTGTGTTAGATGATCTCTTTAAGGGGGTGTTACAGAGTTAGGAAACTGGGTGGAGCGTCTTAAGAAGCCCTTTCCCTCTTGCACACTCACCACCTCCTCGGAGAACTCATGTCTTCTCACAAACCGAGATAAATTTTCTTCTACAGCACCTTGTAGTATGTTTATTAGGGGCTCCAACATATTCGACTGGATATGGATCATGATCTAAGGGAAGAAAAAAGCAAAAACAAGACTGAGCCAGTGTTCCAACGCTGGCGAACATGCCTGGTCGGTCAGCCCGCACTGACAGGCGCCCGCTCTGCTCTGATGCCATTTCCTAACTCCGTTGCTTGCACAGGTCCAGAAAAGCGCTCCGCTTGGAATGTGAGCTCAGCCAGCCAACGTTTGCCTTCCAGGAGGTAATCAAAACACAGAACCGCAAAACTTGCTTAAGAGTCATGATGAGGACAGCATGAAACTTAGAACCTGGATATCTGGGGTGAAATCTCAACGCTGGCAATTACCAGCCATGCGCCTCTGGGCAAGGCACTCAATCTCTCAGCCTTCAAATTTGCTCACTTGTGAAAAGGGGAAAATACTCTGAGAGTCCACCTTTCGTATTCCTGTGAACATGCAATGAAATATCAGCACCAAGGAGTTATTCAACAAACAAAAACATTAATTCCCACCTCCTATCTCCTTTGGATTCAGAAGAGATGGAAGCCAAACCATCTCCTAAGATGGCAAATGGGACCTTGGATCTGTTGTTGTTAGGGAACTGCAGGCACCAGGCTAATGCAGGCAGAGAGAAGTTGGCTGAAATCTCAATGAAGGCCTCCTACTTACAATGCATTAAACAATTTTCAAATGGGGTGTGGTACCATGCTTTCAAAACACACTGCTACCTTCTACCTGCACAGCACAGTTAGCACAAGAAAAAAGGAATGCACCCCGCCCGTTACCAATATTTACTAATACAATTTGAAACACAGAAAAAGGTTTAAAGAAAATGAGAATAACTGAGAATTCACCAACCATTGTTCACTAGTTTATAATTTTATCTTCCAAATATATGAATTTTCCCCAAAATTTGACCCTGCTCTTTGCCAATTATGATGAGCAATTCTTCATAACATTATTACAACTATCAGAGAAAAGAAACCTAATTTTTAACAAGTTATAACTGTGGAAATATCCCACATTTTGTTATACCGACCAATGCGTATACATTTAAAAAATTAATTTCTTTCCTTTTTTTTTTTTTGTCTTTTTGAGAAAGGGTCTCACTTTGCAGTTCAGGCTGGCCTTGAGCTCATTTTGTAGCACAGGCCGGTCTCAAACTCATAAATATCCTCCTGCCTCAGCCTCACAAGTGCTGGAATTGCAGGGGTGTGCTACCACACCCAGCAAAAATACTGATTTCTTAGACTTGATTCAGAAAAGTGAAATTACTAAGTCAAACTGTATAAACATTTCAATGCTCTTGTTCCTTTCAAAACGCAGTTTTGCTAGGAGAGTTTCCTTTTTTATATTGAACTATGTTCTCTTACTACTCTTTCATTAGTAAGACTGATAGTTGAGCAGGGTCTATTTATCACAACAGCATAACTGAGACAGGCTACTTATGAAAAGAAGAGTTTACCTCACAGTTCTGGAGATTAAAGGGCATGGAGCTGGACTCACTTCAACTCTGGTGAGGGTCCTCTCAGCTGGTCACATCATGGCAAAGGGAAATGACAGCCGTGTATGCAGAGGCAAGGGAACGCATCTCAAGCAGGAAGCCAGGGAGCAAGACCAGGGATGGGCTGTTATGGCAACCTCTTACAAGAATTACCCTACCCCTTCCCAGGGAACACTGCCAATGACCAAGCCCTCTCAGCAGGCAGCACATCCTCAGGGTACCACCACCTCCTGCACTGTCACACTCCACATGCCTCCAACGTGCGGACTCTGGGGGGACAAACCAAATTCAAACCCCTGCACACTGCAAGCAGCTTATCAGGATGAGGAGTGACCCTGGTCCTGAAGAACAGATGAAATGATGTCAAGCAGATGGAACAGGAAGAACTTAATCTAAATTTGGAGTTTTAAAACAGGCAAAATTATGAGCACACTCTGGGGTGAGACAACTCTCTGAATCTCTTGAACTTTTACATGACCTACAAACAGAATCAATGGCTGCCTTTGTTCCAGACTATCTTTTCAGATATGTTTGTGTCATCCAGAGCAAGGGGCAGACATGCTCACTACCACTGTAAGAGATTTGGGTTCCCTAACTCAGGGTTCCTCTCCTAAAATGCAACTTTTGTCTACAACAGGTATAGGGACCACTTTACTTCACACCACAGGCACTGCAGATCCGGAAACTAATAGAAAAATGCCAATACTTCGGCCACTGCTATTGCTGGGATAAACTGTCCCTCATCCCTCAGTGTGTAGGACACTCACTCCCCCAGCATCCACGGACAGGTTATGTATTAGCTTGCAAGTAAGGTAAAATCTCCAACCCTTCAAGTTCTCAACATTCTTGCTAATAAAAACCAATCCCAATTTGGCTGGCAGTAGTCTGTCTTCTCCTGGGCAAGGACAAGCCTACCATGTCGAATGCTGTGTCTGCAGTTCCTACACAGCTGAAGCCTCAATATAATGAGTGTGGGTCCCCTAGCAATTAACAAGCATAAACCCAGGAGCCTTATGCTGGCAGCCATGTGCTCCCAGAAGATCTCAATGCTTCTCCCTAAGTCTCCCAACTTCCCTTCCTGCCTCCAGCTACTACCTCCACTTCAGTAGGGATTTCAAGGATAAGACTCAGTATGTTAGAACACACTGAGGGAGAGCAATGCACAAGGGGCAGCTACTGCTGAAAGGTGCCACAGCTAGAGCTTATCTCCAACTCCAGCATATGGTCAAGGAAACTAAAATGGCATAGCATACTGCTTTAGCATTACAGATTTCCAACAAAACACCAGGGAAACGGAATCAGCAAGGAATACGAGACATTTGGCAAGACAAACTATTCCGGGAACCCATACTTCCTGCCCCTCTGATTTTTTGAGGCCTCAGGAAATGATGACAAGTCAATGGACACCTCTGACCAAAAAGAACAGCAGCCTGGATCATGCAGACACATACAGCTGTATCTTGTACTGTCTTTTTAAGTTTGCTATCTTGGATCACCACAGTATAACAGACACCATACCCACTCCCTACTTTTTTTCCCTAAGAATTCCTGAAATTTAACTGATGCTGTCATGTATGGAATTCAACTGTATTTCTCAGGTTTCTTTGCAATTAGGTGTGGTTGTGGGATGAAGTTCTGACCAATAATAATAATATGTAAGTAAAAGCTGCTGGATGAGACACTTGAAACAGGATTTTATTTTCTGAAACAGGGTCTCACTATGCAGTTCACTAGCTACTAACTTATTATGTAGCCACAGGCTGGCTCACTATGGAGGGTCTCACTATGCAGTTCACTAGCTACTAACTTATTATGTAGCCACAGGCTGGCTCTGAACTCGTGGAGGTCCTCCTGCCTCAGCCACTGGAGTTTTGGGATTACAGGTATGCATAACCAAACCTGACTAAGAAAGCACCTTTAATTAATTAATTTATTAATTTATTTGTTTATTGTCTTTTTGAGACAGGGTCTCACTGTGCAGTTCAGGCTGGCCTTGAGCTCACTTTGTAGCTCAGTCTGGTCTCAAACTCACAATGATCCCCCTGCCTCAGCTTCCCGAGTGCTGGGATTACAGGTGTGTGCCACCACGCCCAGCTGAAAGCATCTTTAAAAAGGACGAAGTTTTCTGTCCTCTCCATTTCTCTTACTTCTTATGGACCAGGGAGGTAACACATGGAAGTCATCTGCTTAGGATAACAGTACAAACACAGAGAGAGGCCAGGTTTCTGAGCACATGCAGTGCCATACCACAACTGACCGCCTGTGGTTTTCTACACAGGGAAGGAAAATAAAGCCTCTAATTTGCATATACTCCTGTATTTTGGAGTTTACACTTATTGAACCAAATATAATAACTTACGCACACAATGAGACACTGTCACAAATGTATAAGGAAAGAGTCCTGTCTTCTTTTGGACCTATGTAGCTTATGAAACTTCTCAGCGTGAATCAACATTTTAGGGTGACCTTCCAAGCAGGAGAAAGATGTTTAAGTATTCACCTGTACTAATAAATGATAAAGCAGCAAAACCAACCACTGTCCAATTCCCTTGCAAACTAAATGCAATTCTAAAATAGTTTTCCACTTGAAGACAAGCCAGAATCCTAGAGAAATGATTAGAATTCAACAGAATCAGTAGAAAGTTACCCTGTGTTGATGTCTACTACTTTCAGACATATTTAGAAGTAGATATTAATCCTCTCTTACTGAGTAGCATTGCTAATGAGAAGTACAGTTCTTTTGAGACTGATGAGTTTAAATTCAGACTGAGAGGACAGAGTCATCCGCATGTATCTTGATCACCTGCTGAATTAATGTACTATGTTGCGAGTCTTAGCTGGGAAAATAGGAAACCCAGCCCTCCATAACAGTAGGAGCAATCCGGATAAAAAGAAACTTCAGTAGGGGGGGAATTAGGCAAGTTCAAATTTCAACTGGCAGTATCAAAAGATTTTAGTATAAGGTAGTTTTAGTTCTTAATGTAAATCAGAGGGGAAAAAATGTGTTTGTTTCTGTTGATATTAACTTGTCAGCCCGCCTGGCAGGTTTCTATTCACAACAGTTAACAAGGTCCCTGCAGGGAACCAAGTGGATGGCGGCCTTGGAGAAGCTAAGGCTCATGAAGTCACTTTAAAAAAGTGCTCTAATAACAGAGACCCAGAATCTAAGGATTATTAAACTTGACAAGGGCAACCATCTCTTTTTCTCATCCCTGCAAATGATGAGACAGACTTTTGCTGCAACATGAGAAATTTAGATTGGACACTTGGAAGTTTCCCAGGTGAGAATTTTTTTAGCAATAAAAGTATCTTTAACTTTCCCAACAGTGGGTAATTCCGTGACTGCGTTTGTGAAGAAGATTGACAGTCAACACCAATTCAAGGTCCATTATGTGGCCCTGAACTGCTCCATCCCACCATGCGTATGGGCTGGCTTTCCTCCCAGTTCAGGGGCCAAGGGCCCACGCTACCCAGAAGGCAAGTCTGTGCTTTTTTACTGTGTTGTTTCTCCTCCTACTGGGAACGGACAACTTCACTCTCAGCAAGCTCATGGTTTATTTCTACCACGGTAGTTTCTCATTTGAAAACCAACAGTAAAAACCATTACTAAACTGTGAGAGACAGGCCAGGACAGAGACAGCTGAAGAACCTAAACCCTATGGATCAGGTTTTTGAACATCCAGTCCTGCATTCTTCTCATTAATATCCAGGAGGAGCAGCTAATCCCAGTACTGGAAGAGAGGGAACCGTCCTTCTCATCCCTGTAGGTCTCACCTCTTTGGAGAGGTGGGAAACCCTGGGCTTGGCAATCCACTGTCTGGGTTAAAATCCCAACTCTGTTATTCACTGAGCAGTGTGAACTTGGGTAATTTACTTGCCCCTGGAATCTAAGTTTCCACATCTGTACCACAGAGGGATATGGTTCTGACAGGACTCTACAAAATGAACTAAAGAATGTAAACTACCTCTGGATGGTACCACAGCTAACTTCAATGAAAACCTGCCATCGTTCTCTAATTTCTCACCACCACCTCATTTCAATGCCATGAAAGGCTACTACTGAGTTGTTTCTTGAGCTTCTCCCCATGTTCTCCAAGACTGCTTCCCTTTCTGAGGAACCACTTGGCTAGCTCTGGCTTTGGTGGAAGAGTCTCTTGATAATCCTGGAAATTCTACTCCCATCCTTTTGTGAAATCAGCACATCTGCAGGCCATGCTCTCTCAGAAGGACGGACCTACTTGGATACCAGAGCTGCCCGTCCCATGGGAAGCAGAGACGACAAAGGAATATGGTACCTGCTGGAAGGCCCTATCAATGGCTCAAATGACCTAAGCTTCTGGACTTGGGACCTCTGGTATGGAGCCTGGCCCCCAGACCTGGCTGAGCCTGTGAGTTTTTAGGCTGCCCCTCCGCTGGCACCCGCAGCTTCTCCTTGGCATCAGTATTAAACAGGGGTGATCTGCAGGGACCTTGCCAGTGGGGTGCTCAGCCCTCTTCTACCGCTGCTACACAGCAGCTTTTGCTCCCTGACTTCTCTGATGCTTCCTCTGCCTCATGTGAATGCCCTAGAAATGCATATTGGAGTCCTCTTTCTTCCCTTTCTTAGGCATTTGTCAACCACACCAGATCCCTCACCACATGAATCTGGGCTGACAGGTCTGCCACACGTCCACCTCCAAGCTCATGTCCTTTGCAAACTGCAAAGTCACTTTATGGGTATTTCTCTAGTAGCTGCTTCCCTTCTAAGACCCTCTTTCCCTCTTCAGGTTCTCGGTTACTATTATGTCCATATTTTTGGTTTTCTAGACTTACCTTTCCTTCATGTTAATGCATTTTGAAAAGTAAACACAAGGCCCAATCTAAGGTATTCTGAGCTCAGATTTCTTGGCTGACTGCATTTCTCCAAAGTTTACTATAAAACCTCATTGAGTCTTTTCCCAGAAAGCCACTGCTCGCCGCAGTGGGGGTGATGCTGGAGCATAATCACAGAGTGACAGAACTTAGAAGCATTACCTTGACGTGTTACTATTCTTTCTCAGAAGCTTGCAGTCACGCCTAATTCCTATCATTGGATTTATTACAAAAAAACACTTCTTTTTATTTAACTTTCTTCAAGTCAAACAATACTATTAGTACTCGCAAACATTCATCAGACAAAGACTATGCCAGGCACTGTGCTAACTACCTGACACACATTTTTTCTTTCAATTCTCACAAGGTAAAAGCAAGTACTATTTTTTTTTGTTTCAGACGAAAGGAAACTTTGAGTCCACAGGGATGAGGTAGCTTACCTAAGGTCTAGAGCTAGTAGTGGTTACAATTAAGTTATACTCTTTTAAACAGAGGCTTCACCCAAAGCAATTTGCAACAAGGCAGGTCCTTGCACCTCCATCCCAACCCCACAGCCCTGTCCCTGTCCAGAACACTACTGGACAATGACTTCTCCTGCAGGTGCCTCCGTTCTGCGGCCAGGCCTGTCTACCCTTCACTCTCTCATCTTAGAATACTGTTTCACAGGCTGGGATCTGTTATCGTAGTTCACCACACACTAGTGTCTACATCTTCTGTCCCTCGAAACTGTTTTTGTCATCCTGACTCAGGAGATGGGAAGAGCTTGGAAATTAGGGGCTTTACTCATGCCAACTCCCCACAGCCCAGGGGCACTCGGCACCCCAGCAGGGCCTTGGCAGGCTGGCTGGGTTGGGGCTCTGGTGTCTTTCATAATATGACCTTCTTTTTTCCACTGGTCGAGGAAGGTTTAGGTGACCCACAGTTCAAAAACTGGGAGTGGCAGCAGGATGCTTTTTTACTGGAGGAAATCCAGTATATGCAGGAAGAATTTTTAGCTTGTCTTTTAGTTTTAGCGGTAAGGTTTTTCCATATCTTAGTAGAATTACTACAGTCCTCTGGTGATCCAGACAAGGTCCCAAACAAGTGACACAGGTGACTTGTAGGCTAGATAAGTCAGCAGGGTGAGGGGCCACAGCAGACTAGACTGCAATATGAATGAAAATAGCTAACAACTACTGAGTGCTGACCATGTGTCAGGCACACTTCACGCACCCAAGGTGCATCAGCTCACTGATCACTGGGCCACATGAGTCAGCCGCCACAGGTGAGGTGCAATCACCTGTAGGTTTCTCTCAAGGCTCAGTAAGGAGATCGGCGAGTCTCCCTCCAAGCTCTTATCCTCTCTTCACATACAGCCTTCCTGGCTGAGCTGCTCACCTTCAGCACTTAGCTATGTCTCATATCCACACTTTTCCACCCTTCCCACCCACTTATACACTCCAGGAAGCAAGGGCTGGGCTGACACCTGTCACAGAGTGATTCTGTAATGTTCATATGGAGGAGCTCAATGACTGTTCTTTTGAACTGAATGAAGACCTTGGGAGATCAAGTCATTGTATCCAGACAAAAACTGCAGACACTTTACTACATTTAAGTCTTACTTTAACCCTAAAGAAGTTACTTACATTTAAATTGGCCCAAGTTATGTTCTCTTGGTTCATGATTTGAGAAAATATGGTTGCAGCTTTGTCCACTTCATTCTAGAAAAAAAAAAAATCATACCCCAAATCATATGAACATCAGTCAGCTATCATAAAGGTCATCTAGGGAAGGCAGGATACTCATATTCACAGGGCCCTAGGCTTCTGAAATTGACAAAGAAATGCTTAAAAATAAACATTCCATAAAATGCTTCATTCAGTGGAAGAGCCTATGTTCTAACAACCTGTCCAAGTCCAGTTTTTGAGAGGGAAGCATTATGTTGGCATTTCCCCTTACCCAGTAGAGTCAGTTTTTAAGAAAAACAGGAAATGGGAACAAGAAATGCAAACCCCATCTTTGCCATCACTGGAACAGGGAAGGCTCAAAGTGCAGGAAGTGGAAGCACTGACAGAGAGATTGGAGCTACAGCCTGGGTAGGTTCAGGGGAAGGCAGTCAGAGGAGGACGGTGCTCGGGGCGGGGATACAGCTCTGTGGCACAGCACCTGCCTGGCAAGGACAAGGTCCTGAGTTTGATTTTCAGTTCCAAAAAAAAAAAAAAGAAAGGAGAGGAAGACAGTGCTGTGAGTCTCAGGAAAAGCCCACAAGTAGTTCTCAGCAGGCACAACCTCAAATACAAAACTAAATCCTAGCTGACAGTGATGGGAGCAGAGCTTAGGATTAGCAAGGGGAACCTCTGAATCTCTGTGTGGCAGAGTGGACACTAGGCAAAGGTTTCCAGAGGTGAGCCACAACTGCAGGAAGCAGTGTGTCCCTATGGTACCACTAGAGAAGAAACTGTTCACTGAAAACCAGTTCAGTGCCTGTTCTGCCTGGCTAGGGAGAAATAAATTTATGCATACTTATACGCAAAACCCTACAAATCATATAAAGTTGTTACATAAGGGGAATCTGCTAAATTAGACCAAAGCTCTACGGCTCTCTCTGCTATCAATGGTCTAAGAGGAATTTACATTTTTCAATAGTGACTTTTTTTTTTTGGTCTTTTTGAGACAGGATTTCACTATGCAGTTTAGGCTGGTCTTGAACACACTATGTAGCTCAGGCTGGCCTCGAACTCACAGCAGTCCTCAGCCTCCTGACTGCTGGGATTACAAACATGTGCCACCATGCTTAGAGAATTTACATTTTTGAATGATGAATAATCATTCAATTTACATTTTTGAATGATGAATAATCAAATAAATAGCACATGAACTCCAGAGAAATAATAATAAAAAAATAACTGGAAAGGAACCCTGTAAAACAAAAATAAAGTAACTAGCAGAGGAAGAAACCCCAATACAAATGTGTTCCTATGGTTATGGCGGACAGAAATGAGAGAAATGAACACAATCTCATCAGTCACAAGTGTGGGGAAGAAAAGCAGGCAGGCCACAGGTTTCTCCAAAGGAATATTCCAGACTAGAAGACAGAAGATCAGTGCCTTAAGAAAACCTCCACAAAGGAAGTATCATCTCAAAATCATATTACCTGTAATTTCAAGATCTCTGAAATCTTTTTGCTCAAGTACAAAATCAAAAGACAAACAAAATAACACCATCAAGAACTCAAAGAATATGGTTGAGAATTTACCAAAGAGTTCTCCAGGGGTGACTATAAAACAGCAGTGAACAACTGACAGTAAACAATGGGCCTATTTATACACAAAAGGCTCAAAATGAATATGGGCAACATCTCTACAGAAGAGAGTGCAAATGTTACGTAGCTAAACGAGGAAGAGAAAGTAATACTAACCAAAAGAAAGAAAAGGAAAAAGGAAGATAAAGTATGATCATTTCCTCATCTTTATTACTTATAGGTCAAAAAATATCATTTAAGGCTGTTAAATATATTTAAGAGAAAAGCAAAAACTATGAAAAATAACATAGGTGGTAAAGGAAGAAAATCAGAAGAAAATACACATATTTCTCCATTGCTTATAGACAGGAAATAATAAGTACTGTCTAAGGAAAGACATGCCCAACCTGTGCTCTGACTGGCCTGGGCTGCCCTGTACCAAACTGTCTTGAGCCACATATAAAATACAGAATATAGTTAATGTACATAAGTAACAAAACTTCCTCTTTTAAAAAATATTCTTCATTGTAACACAGGCATGTCCAACCCATCAGCCATAGGTTGGACAGGTCTGAAAGTTAAACCAAGTTTCAGTTTTAAAGCATGCTCTAGGGCAAAAGTACAAACCATAAAAAAAACCCACATGACGTATTTCTAAAGTTACAAAAAGAAAAAGCATTAAATAAAATAAGACTTAAGGTCATACATATGTCATACTAATATAAATAGGTTAAATTTTTTAAAAAACTAGCATACAGCAAATCTGAAATTGATACAATGTGTAAGAGACTGACCTAAAACAAAATAATTCAGATTGAGAATTAAAAAAAAAAACCACAAAAAGATTGAGAATAAAAGGATAGCAAGACATGTGCATCAGACAAATATAAACCTAGTCAAAACAAAGAGAAACAAAAACAAAGGTGGAGCTATTACTATTACATAAGGTTGAGTTCAGAGCAAAAGCATTAAACATAACCAAGAAAGGCATTCTTACTAAACTGAGAGATTTACAAAGATAATATAACAATGATGGTTTATCTGTCCTCCAAACAGTGTAACTTATGTACACACAAAGGAAGAACTATAAGAGCTACAAAAAGAAATGCAAACATGCCTTGGAAAAGATTAATTCATCTCACTCGGCTCTTGACAGACTAAGAGGACAAAATAATTCCCCTGGACAGAGAGGAAGCTCAGGAAGCTAGGAAAATAATCACCGTCCAGTGGATGCCTGCTAAGTGTGCATCCTCTTAAGTCTTTGTCCTTCAGTGACTTTTCTCAGCAGTATGTGGAAATGGACCACTCTGATAATCTTATTTGTAACTAGTCATAAAGAAGTGTTTTCCAACCTCACTTTATTAGCCAAACAAATAACCTAGCTAGGTCAGTATTTTTCTACTATAACATTTCCTTTTACTACATCATAAACATGTGCCATATTTTATGCAATTTTAGGCCTTTAAATAGGACACTGAAAAGCAGGTGCCCTTTAAGGGACTGTCCCAGGGTTCCAGCTCTTTGTCCTCCATGAAGGTGTGGGGTCAGGGAGGGGCTTTCTTCTCTGGGTTCACTGCCTTATTCCAGTAGAGGTCTATGAACTTGTTTCTAACAATGGGCTGCTCCCGGAGCCATCATACACATGAAGTGAATTCAGATTTGGAGAGTATTAAACTGCTCTCTGAGAATTTGCATCAAAAACTGACTATTTGCAATTTTTACTTTAATTACTTAGGAAATTTCTCTCAGGAGAGCTGCTTCCCCCTCTGACTCTTCACAGGATCTGGGCCAACACATTCTAAGTGGAAATACATGTTAAGTCCTCAACTGTAAATAAAAACACTGTCAGCAGACACAGGTAGAGATGTAGGTTGCCATGGTAACAAAGACACTGCTCTTTTCTGGGGACTTTTCCTTTATGATACACTCAAAAGCAACGACAAATGAATGCAGTAAATGCCTGCCTGCTCCCAGCTGACTTCCACGCACCTCCAAGCTTTACCTGATTCAGAGCTAACGCCACAGCAAAACAGCATGCTCTCCTGGAGAGAATGTCTCCTTTGGTTAGGGCGTCTTCTCTTAATGTAGTACAGATTTTAAAAGATTCTGGGCTATTCTGTGAGAAGACAAAAGAGTATTCAATAAGTGTCTTGAACTTTAGTTCAATGAAATGATTACTGGTGCCACTTTAGATTTCTTTTGTAAGAATTTCCCAGAGCCTATCTCCAGCCACTTCAAAGACAAAGCCCCATCTAGACAATTTCTCAGTGGCCAGGTTACCTATATGTTAACAGTCCAGTCTAAAATAACTATTTTTGAAGCTCTTTGTCAATTTTCTAACACAGGACATTTTTCACCCGCAAACACCTTGGTCTCTTTGGATCTGGGCAGGCTAGTTTCTATACATAGGCTCTGGGGTGTAAGATTAATTTGCACATCAATTATGAAAGAATCCCATGAAAACAGAAACCTAAAACAAAACAAAATAAGCCCCCTAAGAATGTGAGTGATGCATAAACCAGCAAGACAGCAACAATCAAACAAAGCCTCTCCCTGTGTAAGCTGCAGGGGGCCAAGCAGTGCCAACTGTGCCTCCATGTCTCTCCTGTCCTCCAGTCTGCGTCTGGTAGGCAGGGGAGGTTCCCAGAATGGACTTGGAATCGGTCCTGGCTGACAAGCTCAGTACTGCAACTTATTTCCACAGAGAGATGTAAGCTATTGGTAGACAGAGGGAAGAAAGGTCCTGGGACCTTACTGAGCAGCAGAATTACTCTCCCCACTTCAGGCACATCCTCGGAGACAGCCCTAGGTAGCCCAGAAAACTGGGAGTCACAGTGTTGAACAACCAACGCTCTAGTCTTGTGTTTTGTTAGCCTTCTACTTCACAAAACCTAACTGCGGTGTGACTGGAAAGAATGATTTCATCCGGGGTCAGCAAACTGTATACACCTCTAGGGCCAGATCCAGCCTACCTTGAAGAATGGTCTTCACATTTTTGAAGACTTGTAAAAACAAAAACAAGTAATATGTGACAGAGATCACATGTGGCAGAAATTGTATGTGACTCTCAAAGCCTAAAATATTTACTATCTGGCCTCCACAGGAAAAGTTTGCTGGCCCTTGAGTCCAGCTGTCTCATTTTATAAATAAGCTAAGTGATCAGTTGAAAGCTAAACAAGCCAGTTAATAATAAGTTGAGACTAGGCTTCAATTTCCAGTTTTGTTTTGGTTCCACTGTAACTCAGCTGCCCCTCTTGCTTTGGAAAGTTGCTTGTGCTATCCTCTTTAGGGGAATTTTTCAGCAGTTCATGCTCTTCTACACTGACTGGAGTTCCTTCATTTTCACTTATCCAGGTATCCAAAGTTTAAATGGCCTGAATTAGTATTGTACTACATTGAATTTTGTTTGGTCTTTTCATTTTTATTCACTTGACAAATATTAAAGGAATAGTTTTCAAGTGAAAGAAACAATTCTGACATAGTAATGACATAAGGACTTGTAAGCTGTGGTCTTTGTCTGCCAAGAGTTCACTGTCACATTATACACATGTATTAAAGACTTGCTGGGTACCAGGTACTGTGTCCAGACACCGGGATACAAAGAAGCCTCAAGGAGCTCTCCTCCAGTGGGAAGGGCAGAATCCAAGTACAACTGGGCAGAGTTGTAAGTACAGGTACGTGATACAACAGAGCACAATCAAAGGATATTTGCAGGCGGTAATGCAACTGCCAGCTTCAGAGGATACAAACAACCTCACAGATGAGGGCAAAGTAGTCCTGGAATTTGTTAGAAAAGGATGGTATGACTTTAGGAGAGGAGGGACGTAGATCTAGTGGGTTCCAGTGTGCAAGAACGCTAGCACACAGCTTGAAGCTGACATACTATCTCTAGTTCTCACCACCCACACAATCAGCAGAGAAGGGTAAAAGATGCGAAGTCGCTTGTACCATGAAAAAAACTGTCAGACAAGGCTAACTTGAGTTTTCTAAAAATGAATACATTTAAAATTGAAATATTTGCACCAGATGGAAACAGACTGGAAGGAAATTGAATTTTATTTGTAGAGAGAGAAAGAGAGAGAAAAAATCTCAAACACTATCCACAAGCCCTCAAAATTAGGGGGAAACAGTCTTACCAGCTTATAGCAAATTGCAAAAGCAAGGACATAGCTATCTGAGTTGAGCCTCACATCCTGGTTTTTCATCTCTATCAACACTTCCAATGCATCTGCCAAAGGGAGGAGAAGGAAGGCAATGTCAGATGCAGTACAGCAAGGCCAGGTCCCCAAAGCCCAAACCCTTCAGTATCATCTACTGAAAAACTGTTTCTCAAAGTCATTTAGCAGTTAACTAAATATAATAAACTATCAGGTTATACAAATATAGCATTTTAAAACCTGCTCTCATGTCAGCGTAAGAAAGGTCTAAGGTTTTACTTTAAGACATGTTGTGCAATGCAATCTGTGCAGACTTAAAGAGTATGTTCTGTGTTATTCAGTCCCTCATCAGGAACACAAACGTGCAAAAATGACCCTTTTCCTAACAGTGATATCACTAAAGACAGGAAAATTTTTTTATCAACCATAGGTTATAGTACTTACTTTCATATTTGCCCTTGATAAATAACATATCCATCAAAATATTGAATGATGTGGGGTCCGAGAAGAAACCTTGTAAATGCTAATGAAAAAGTAATACAAATTAGTTAAAAGTCAAAGCTAGTAACTTAGCTACCCAAGTCTTATTTTGCTGCATACTCTATTTACTTGGTCTCCTGAATTCTCTAATAATCTAAGAACTTATTTCTGGAAAAAGCTACACTCCGCCTGCTGTCTGGACTGCCCTTTGGAACAGGCACAGTGAAAAGTAAGTGAGAGATCTCAGGGTTTCATAAACACAGTGAAGAACTCCTGTATGAAATGTGGTTCTGTAATGCTCAGGAGAAAAGAAACGAGACAGTTAACCCTGGCAGGATGGTCCTGATACCAGGGAAGCAACTATTAGCATGAAAAGGCAGCCATAAATATAATAGAGAACTAAGGCAGGGCGGTCTCAACAACTGTGACCCTCTTTTCATAGAAATAATACAGAAACCGTTACTTACTCTTTGAAAATAATTTACTTAAAATAGTAGTTCTCAACATTTTTTTCAGCTTAATTTTAATTGACAAATTAAAATTGCATATATTCATTGTATATAGGTGGCTTTAAATAAGTAAACATTGTGGGGTGGTTCAACTGAGCTAAAGAACATGCACATTACTTAAGTTTTTGTTGGTGAGGACATTTAAAATCTTTCTCCGCACAATTTTAAGAATACTATACATTCTTTTTTAACTATGGATATTTACAATCAATCCATTCCCTCAACCTGAAATTGTGTATCTGGGCACCAATATCACTTTGATGTCTTCCTAGCATTCTAAATGTCATGATAATGTGGCACGTGATATTCAAACATGCCATTCAGGGCCTTGTCCAAATTTGTTCTTTCATGAGAGTCTACTAAGCAGGCCCTGTTCTAGATGCTGAGAATAAAGAAATCATAAACAAGACATACAGGGGCTGGGGATTTAGCTCAGCGGCACAGTGCCTGCCTGGCAAGCGAAAGGTCGTGAGTTCAATTCCCAGTACCGGAAAAAAAGCAGAAACAAAAAACAAACAACAAGACTACACCACGCCCTGCACTCCAGCTAGGTTTACAGCCGGTGGAGCTTAACAGTTTACCCTGAATGTCACTTGGGCAGCATGTTTGTTTACAAACTGACAATCCCCAGTGTCACTTGGGCAGGTGTCATTTCAACCAGTTGATTCTTATATTGAATAAGTTTGATAAAATTGTCGTTTCTATATTTCCTGTTATTTTATCTTATAAAAGTTAGCAAGAAATGCAATTTTTGGTCACCCTATATTTAAATAAGTAGACCGGGTAAGTGGATAAATTCTGGAGAGGAAGGCAATGAGCAAGTGACTACAAGTGAAAAAAAAACCTAATTTTGGGCACTGACAGGTTATGAAGAGCAATGAAGCAGTATAAAGAAGAGACAGGAGTGGGTAAAGGAAGGCTCTCTAAAAAGAAACCTGGGGGCTGGGGATTTAGCTAAGCGGCACAGCGCCTGCCTGGCAAGCGCAAGGTCATGAGTTTGATTCCCGGTACCGCAAAAAAACCAGAAGAAAAAAAAATAAAAAGAGACCTGGGTAGAAGCCAGAGTAGGCCTACGGCTACTTATTCTTAATCCAGTTCATTCTATTCCAGAAAACTCATTTATATATGCAATTTCTCATACAAATACAAGCCCGGGGTGAACAGTTCTACCACATACAGAACACTCTCAAAAGAAAGACAGAAAGAAATATTAGCTTGTTATGGAGATTTCTGAATATACTGAAATGTTCAAGGTGGTCAGCCCTAGTTCTAAAATTTAACAAGTATTTCTGAGCATGCATGAATTGACAATGTCTCTAGATCCTAGTTTTCTATCTGTAAAGTACAAATAGTAACAGGGACATATCATCAAGAATATTGTCGGAAATGAAATAAAACACGTAAAGTGTTTAAGCACAATCTGAAGACACAGTAACAACTGCAAAAATAAATTATTTTTTCTTTTTATGAAAAATCAGTATGTGGAAGCATTTTGAAAATGGAGAAGCACTTTATAAACAAAAACCTCCATCAGAAATAAAAATATAGAAAAAGAGAGATCAAAGGTAAAGCATAGCAACCATGAAAGGGCAGCCTGTCATAAAGCACCCTCCTCTGAAATACTCTGAAGAAGGTGCACATGCCAGGTCAGCACATATCCAGCAGGCAGACATCATGCCATCAGGACTCCACCTGTCTACACCTCTATACGGAGACCTACACTTCTCATGTGAGCTGACTCCAAAGAACTTTCAAAATGCTCAGAACAGTTCAATCAGTGTAGCAGCCTTTCTCTGAAAATCCAACCCAAGAGTAACTTACTGAAAAATGTCTTTTCTAATATTATCAAAAACATGGCAGGAGGAAATCACATTGGCAGAAAAGATAACAATAACCTGGTCTTTGATGAGCTCCACCGCAGATTCCTCAAGATCCATCTCGTAACATAGTCTCATGAAAACTGGTCCAAACTTATACTCCCCCAAAGTGAAATTTCTATTTTCTGCATGGTACCTAGTAACAAAATGATTCAATGAGCTAAAAGGTATAGCACAGGAAAAATGACAGACACAGGCCATGGTGTATACTCTGCTAGGTGTGGAAGACACAATAAAGCATAGGTACTTCCAATGTGGAAGGGGATAAGTGGAGATCTGAATAAAATTAGAGGGTCAGAGGAATCCTGCAGTGCAGAAATATAGAAGGCATTCAAATATATGAACAGGTTTTGCCACAGGCCAACATGCCGTGGAATAAAACCAAGAGAAGAAAAACTTACGTTGTTTTAATCATTCTTTAAATTAAATGGCAATGTCTGACTGAGTATAAGCCTGTTAGGGGATAAGTGGGGGTCCTCAGGATGGGACCCACCCATGGAGAACAAGAAAAGTTCATGGTGGGAGAGAGGGGTGCTCTGTGCTCAAGGCTGGCTTCATGCCCCGACAGGATTGAAGGCAACCAGCGACATACTTCACAACTTGTCACAATCTCTGTTTCACATCGTTCACGGAAAGGCATGTGTGAGGTACGATCACCTACATAGGCAAATTAAATGTCCTGAAATTTTTAAGTCTTGGGAAAAAGCTAATTTCAAGGCGGTGACAGTTTGTATGTACCTGAGATCTGCACAGGTGCCAGTCTGCCAGCTGAAACTGTAAATCACTAGCACAGATTTACTTTGCATTACCAACTCTTTCTGGTATAGATACGAAGAGGGCAATTTGGTGACCGAAGAAGTACCTTATGTTTCCACGTAAATCAGATTTTCATGATGTAAATGACTTTAAAATAGTATGGAGAAAAGTTCTCATTTTATAAAACTTTTTTTCCTCCTGCTGAAATAACTGAGCAAAGTTGAAGTGGCATTTGATAGGGGTATTCTGAACACCTATTACTGTCAGAAGGATGACTGTACTTGGTTTATATGTATGAACCCAGTTACAGAAATTATACATACACAACTGCTCATTGCTTCACTGTAACACTTCTGAGTTATATGAGTAAAAGACAAGAGAGTGAGGGGATTCAGAACTTTTAGACTCTGATTTCAAAATGATGGTTCAAATTTAACTCTTTTATTTACCATATGTATAACCACAGGCAAATTTCAGTTTCTTAATCTGTAAAATGTAGACAAAAACAGAACTCAAAACAAGTTTCTGTGAGAATTAAATGAGATAAGGGTTGCCTGGCACATGACAAATCTATAATACATGTTAGTTCTTATATAAGGCATGCTGAGAAATATCTTTAAAATCTATAAATATATTTCAGTAAATAGTCTTGTGAGAAACTAGTAGAATAAAATCAGAAAGCAAAACAAAAGTTCTCCCAATCTAGTATTCACACTCAATATTAAACTCATGCCAATAAACATCAGAACAACCACTACCAAAAAGAAAAAAAAAAAAAGCCAGACACACATGTAACCTGAGCTACATGGAAGGATAAGGTAAAAGGTTCATCTCATCTCATAGGAGACCTTATCTCAAAACAAAATGAATGTGCTACAAATTTAATGAGATAAGCACCTCTTGACAAGAAGTAATCAAGGATCTAAAATCCCCCTACAAACCAAATGAAAGCATTTGGTCAAGATTATAAGGGGATTAAGCTGGCCCCCATTTGTGGCTCACTAAACAGCTTCGGTTCCAGCTCATGACCCCTATCCTATCCCAGCCTGCCCCAGAAAGATAGGGAACAAGCAGGTTGGGCCATGGATGCCTCATCTAATCACTCACCCAGCTGTCCATAAGCAGAGGAACGGACAGCAACTGGTTGGAAGGTTAGCAGCAGCAATAAAGAATTCGGAGCCATACTCTGAATGCTTATGACAAAAATAAGTGGAAAGAATGTTCCAAATTTTTATCATGTTTGCTACTCTTTTTTTTTTTTTGGTACCGGGAATCGAACTCAGGACATTGCTACTCTTATAAACATCTGTTGTCATGGTGGTGCACACCTGTAACCCCTATACTGGGAAGGCTGAGGCAGGAGGACTGCCATGAGTTTGAGATCAGTCTGAGCTACATCATGAGTTCAAGGCCAGCTTGAACCAGACAGTGAGACCAACTCCCAAAGAAACAAAACAAAAAAATCCACTTGTTGACTCTAGGTAGTAAAAAGAGGAAAGGAAAATCAGCCAGAGAACTCTTATGATTTAACAGCGTGAAACTGAAATATGAAAAAGGAAGTTTGTTGATACAGCCTAATCCTTCTGGAAAACATTCTTTTATTTTACATAGACAAGCTTTTAAAAGTTCACACAGTCTGCTACAGCCTGGGTTTGGTTTGCTTCCCAAGAGTCTGTGGGCTGGAAGCCTGGTCCCAGGGTGACAGTAAGCAAGGGGATATGAAGCTTTACGAGAGGGTCTCATGGGAGGTCTGAGGTTCAATGAATATGCTGCCCTTCAAGGCATGAAGGTGGTTCTTTATGACCTCTCCTTGCTCTTCACAGAGAGGCATTACAGCATTTGAGCAAGAGTGCCGCTGCCCCAGCTCTCTGGCTTCTTGCATGGCACCAGTGGCAAACCTATGGCATGCAGGCCTCAGAGGGCTTTTGTATCATGGAAAGCTCTAGAAGGCTGGCCATCACTGCTCTAGGGATAGGGTCACTTGCTCTGCACATGTTCCTGACACTGCCATCCGCTGTGTGACACAGCCAACAGGATCCTCACCAAACTGAGCTGAGGCCAGCCTTGGGCCTGGAACCTCTGAAACTGTGGGAAAGGAAGAGAGTGAAAGGAGAGAAAGGCTGTGAAACTGAAGCAGTGTCTCACCTGTGAATGACGCTTTTAGCCAGCTCCATGTCTTTCTGGGACTGACACAGATGAAGCAAGATCTTCAGTTCGTCCTTCAGGATGAGTTTGTTCTGGGTCAATTTCTCTTCCAAGTTTCTAAAATACATTTCTGAAAGGAAGCAGAGGATGGCAGCCATCACTCAGGCTGACTAGGATTGTGAGGTGGATGGCTTCAGAGAGAAGGGGCAGCCTGACGTGGCTCATGCACAGCGGCCCTGCAGGGGCTCGAGGGCACACAGCGCCCTCCACCGTCTGCCAGTCTTTTCCTTTGGCTTTCTATCTGATCAACTATGGGGACAAACACCAAACAAACAGTTTCACTGCTTTAGGGAGGGACTGTACTGTTACCAAAATGTGGGATGAGATGCAAAGCAGGAACCAAACAAGCATCTGCTTTCTAGAAGCCAGGGCTGTTCTTGTACCAGAAACTGCCAAGAAATAGCGATAGGATTTGTTCTGAGGCCCAGCACTTTGAACGAATGCTGCTAGGAGGGGCACAATACACTATAGGAGCTGAAGCTCACTCAACTTTTGATTTCCAAGAAAGATCCCTGAGGTTTACAATAAATGCAATGGGTCTCCCAAATTTTATTTGTAGAACCATATAATGGTTAAAGGTTTTAGGCAGAAATCTAGGCTCTGCCACCTGCATGCTCTGGAGGAGACCCACGCCTGTGAGACTTGATTCCTCAAGTGCAAAGTAAAGATTGCAACACTTTCCCTAAGGGTTATGTGAGATGGTATATGCAAAGCATTCACACCTGGACCTATCAGACAGTAACTATTCGGATAGTGACATCATTGACCTCAATTTTCACTCCTGTTACCTGTTAGATCTAACAGGATATACTCTACTAAAAATATCTAGAAGATCATAAAGGGATGACTATCTTGTACCGCTTAGTCCTTCTTAATAAACCTTATGAATCCAAAATGTCAAAAGATGTAATTGCGTTTTAAATCCTTTAAGCGTTTATTATAGATTCACACTCAGAAGCACGTGTCTCTGCTACAAGAAAGGATAATTATGGTTCCTGCCCACAAAGAGTTTAAGGTGCATTTGCTAGGACAAGGTTATTCATATGAAGCTGTCTGAAAATAATTATGGATGAGGTGATGCACAAATGAATTTGTCCTACAAACATAATAGGACAGAGCACCTATTGCAAGTCAGAGTGGCAGGACAGATCAGGCTTGGAGGAAGTAGAGAGATCCGTGCAGAAGAAGGAAGGGTTGGAGAATCAGAGAGTGGGGCACTCATGGTATGGTAATCATCCTCTCCTTAGAACTGAGGGAGAAAGGTGCTGCGGAAGAGCTGTGACTAGATGAGCAAGAAAACATACTGAACTCCAGCAAGGAAGTCCATTCTGAAGAACCAGGAAACCAGGGGGGTGAGTGAATATACTAAGTACACACAACAGACTGCTACAGTGGGTTCCTAAAATGAGAAAAGATGAACCAGATTCCATAAACATCAGTCTGACGGAGCAATAGATTGGCACTGCCTTTCGGAACTATGACAAGAATAACACCTACACGATGATATGGAGTACTGACAACAAACCTTGCATAACCCAAAAATACCTGGGGTACGAACAAAAGACTGAAAGGACTTCTAGACTAAATATACTAAACTCAAGAAAAATATATTCTGCACATTCCTAAAGCTTACCTTTGTGTCCCATAGGTAGTAATCAGAGCTGTATCATCAGCTGACCTGCAAAGAAAGACTGATTTCTGGAGGACTGGACTAAGAGGGAAGGGAGGCAGGATGTGTCAATCGGGGCTGGCAAACATGCGGCATTCAGAGGGAGAGCTGGGACTATAGCTAAAAATGCCAACAGAGACAAACATAGTTACTACTGCAAGGGGATAATCTTGGATGTGTTTGTAAGAGTCTGAAATACTGCTAAGTACTCTACGAGTGGGCGAAGGAATAAATGATACAAGACTATTCAGATACTGAAGGGAATGGTGCCTAGGTTAGTGGTGTTCTTGTATTTTTAGCTTTTTGCAATAAAAATTTTCAAACACATCCAAAAATAGAGAAAGCAATATAATGACTCCTCGAGCACCTATCACCCAGCCTCCACAACTAACAATAGTTTACTAATTTTGTTTCTTTGAGACCCCCCCCACAAACTCACTGGATTTTTCAAGGTAATTCCCAGATTTCATACAGATTTCTCCTGTATTTATAGAAACCTTTGCTCGCACAGACTTTGCCAGCATAGAATATATGAAAATCCACCATCACACACACCACTGTTCTGTTTCACAGAGTTTTCACTTACATATAGATATGTAATGAAATGTACTTTTCACTGAGGGTTACACCAAAGCTTGAAAGCCAGTTATCTAGAGATCTTAAATACATAATACACAGATGTCACCTGGAGCCTTTCCATCTGCATTTCTATCAACCTCTAGTTGACGCTGATATGGGCCTTAAACCCTACTCAAGAGAAACTGATTGCTGCTCTATTTTACTATTTCTCTGCAATTCTGATACAAGGGATAAGGGGCAGGCTGTAGGCTCTGTAGTAATGCAGTGTGAGAAGAAAGGTGAATATAAGGATAGCCTGGGAAACTAAGAATACATGTTCGCAATCTTTTTCTATGAGACAGTTCATTGAAGGAGAGAATGAATAGGGTCAGAGAAAATTTAAATGGCGGATGAAAGAATTAACAAAATAGGTTCCATTACCTTTGGTGCCAGGAAGATTATATGCAACATTCACCTTCTTACGTTGAAATTCCTTTAATTTCGTAATATTATCTGTAAGCAGGTATCTTTTACCTAAAATTAGAGAAAGGAAAAATATAATTTTGAATATTTGGAGGAGAGCTTGATTATCTCTAATGAAGTGATCTATTATAAACGATGCATTTAGATGGATACAAATTTGACATTGACCCTGGTGGGGAAAACCCTTTAAACTACCAGAGAATGCAAATCTTCAGCAAAAGAAGTTTTGTGTGCAAAAGGAGCTAGTGATTAACTGTGTCAGATCACTGGTTGACAGGAAACTAGGATTTAAAACACAGGTATTTTCCATTTGATTAAGGGGTAATGAGGGCACTAAAAAAGGAAAACAACTAATAGCTATAATCTAAATGCAAAACAAGCATCTAGGTTTGGTTTATCTAAGGCGGCACATCAGTGTAGCTGTAGCGGAAAAAGGAACTGTGTGCACAGGAACTCTAAGTCTTGTCATTCATGTAATGGGATAAACAAGAACAAAAGCAATAATCACACTGTGTATTTCCAATGCTTCTTGTCCCTTTTCAACCCACCTTGCTTACATACCCACCTCCACAAAGAAACACGCACTCCTTCGGATCTTAACTCAGTGTTCTACATAAAGATCAGAAATCACTGGTCACAGCTTAGTGAATCTGGGAAATATTATCCTTTCCTTAGGATTCTTGGTGGTGCACGAGGTAAAAAATGGATGAATCTTAGCCAAAGAATGGCCCACTAGAAGAGTTCTGGGCGCTCCAGTAACAAGGTAACACTAAAAACTGCTTTGTATTTATGAAAGGTAGTCCGTGAAATGCTTGCCTTCAAATTCTGCAGCTATCAGTTCCCTGCGACCTTGGGCAAATGACTTAATCTTATGCCTCCTCTGAAAATGGAGAAAAGGTACCTCTCCCACTGGGTGTTTAGAAGGTGACGCAAAATGCATCAGAATAATGCCTGACACAAAGTATTTTTTTCACTCACTAGAATTCTCAAGTTTGATCATTTTCCTAAATATGTTAAAAGCAATTCTGAGGATGAGGAAGCCTGTTCAATCGTTCAGATTTTAAGCACAGATGGGACTGCAAACTCGTGGAGTCTAAGCCCTCCGCTCTCTGAAGGGGGAGGAGTGTTCCCCGGAAGCAAGGACGCCCCCTGCCAGGGAGCACTAGGGTCCTAAAGTCCCGCCCCAGAGGTCCTGGGGGTCCGAGGCACCGGTTCGCTCACGGGCCCTAGGGGTCCCCGCTGCACTCAGGCTCAGCTACAGATGTAGGGCGCCCCAGGCCAAAGAGAGACTTCTCTAAAGAAATGCCCGCTGGGGTCTAGCACTCCCTTCTCTTCCACCTCTCCCTCCTTCCACGGCTTAAGAACGCAGATACCTCCTAGAGGGTAGCGGCAGCAGGTGGAGCTTGAGCCCGCCACCCAGGGACACAGCGAAGCCCGACGTGCTAGCAGCGAAACTTTGCCCCACTGCTGAAGCGTGGCAGCCATACTGTCCCAAGCCGCACCACTTGCCGGAGCAGGAGAGGGGAGAAAGCGCGTCTATTTCCGGAGCGCCCCTCCCCTTCCTGCGTCTGCAGACCCCGGGCCGCACTTGGTACACTCCAAGATGGCGGCCCCCATAACGCGGCGAGGAACGCTGCTGGCTCGGAAAATCGCACTCAGTCATCTCTCCCCAGCAGGTTGGTGGTTGCTCTTTGGTGGGGCTCTTTTGCCAGGCCCTTCATTACATTGTTCCTTGAGTGAAGTGGGCAATGGGCTTTCAAGAAGAAAAAAAATCTTCTGGGATGTGGTTGCTAGAGAAGCTTTTTGAGGCATTTCGTAGCGCTAAGGGAAGGGAAGGTGTCTGACCCATCTCCTTCCGTAAAATGATAGTATCTGCCAATCCGAAGCACAAGAACATTATGAGATGATTTTGTGTATAACTTGTCGGATTTGTGTGTTAAGGCAGTCGTCTTGCTGAGCCTGAAAAAACCAAATATGCCCATCTCAGGGGCTGTGACAGTTCTCTCCTCCGAAATTCCCTTGGAGGGAGATCAGGTAGAGGATTTCCGCACCTCCTCATACGGTCTTCACTTAGTTGGAGAATTTTTTAAGATTAGTCTCAGTTTACCTGATGACTTTGGACATCATTCTTGATTGATCTTTTGTTGCTATAGTTTTCCACACGTAATAACAAAGGCTGTTAGTACTTCCAAAGCATTTTGATATCTTAGGTGATTAGCACCCGGTCCAGTCTCTTTTAATTGATCTAATAACTAGAATATTGATGGGAGGGGGCTAAAGTATTTACAGAAGCCAGGTTTTCGATAATGTTAGTCACATAATCTTGATAGACGTAACTGAACATATAATTAAAATGCAGTAATGGTGTTATCCCAGCACTTACGAGGCTGAAAAAAAGGATTGAGAGTTCAGGGCTAACTTGGGCTACATAGTAAATTCAAAGTTGGCCTGGAGACACAGGGAGACCGTGTCTCATAAAACAAAAACAATAATCACACCGTGTATTTGTCTTCTTGTCTCTTTTCAACCCACCTTACTTACATACCCACCTCCCCAAAGAAACTCACACTCCTGTTCACATGTCTTCAGGAACAGCTCTTAAATGTTAATGTGTAACCTCATAGTTGACTATGTGAAGTTTAAGCAGTGGACGTAGCTAGTAAAAAAGTTCAGTGTCACATATTCAGCAAATTGGTATGCATAGTTTGACACAGTAATAATGGGCTGTTGTAGCTATTATTTACATACTTATTTCTACTTACTAGTAAGTGCTCCTCAGTCTATAAACAAAACCCTGGATAGCAAATCAGGAAGAGAATCATGATTGCTTAGAATGTTTGGAGGCAAACATGCTCACAAGGGAATGGAAATTCAATACAAACTATGGTGAAGTGAGAATTTCCAGTTAGCACTTTCATTTTAGTTTGAGGTGGTGAACTTCTGGCAAGTTACTTCTGTGTTATTCCAGTATGGTATGTAACAACACAGCTATTTAAATTTTTTTTAAAAAGAGAAAACTTAAAATTCAGTTCATCAGGAGACATCAGCTATGTTTTAAGTGCTCAGTTGACCCATGTGGCTGGTGTCTCTTGTATCAGCTCAGAATAGAACATTTTTATCAACACATAAACTTGTGTTGAACAAGCACTATATTACACCAGAGGGCTTCGGATATAGCTCAGCACCACAAGCACCTGCCTGGCAAGCACAAGGTCCTGAGTTCAGTTCCCAGACCACCCCCCCCATTAAAAAAAATTCACCAAGATGAAAGGGAACTGGAAGCTGTCAGTGAAGTGATTCAGGTATATTAACTAGAGACTTCTTAGGATTTGGAAATGTTGGTAAGGAGCTAATAGCCATTGCAACATTTGATCCATTACAGAACAAGAGAGGAAAATTACTTGTACAAATTCATGACAAATCAAGATTTGGAATGCCTTCATGCTTATTAAAATAGAATAGAGAAGTACAGCTAAGATGATTAAGAGATGAAAGGAAAAACGGCTAAGATGGAACCAAATAAGTGACTTAAGTACATGAAGACGTTTAGAGGGAGGAAATTTATTGGGTACCACTACATAGTGGGCATTAATATATGTATGCACTTAAACTACCACCCTGAAATAGGCATTATTTTCCTGTTCTGTATGCTGTACGGGTTATGTGTAATATGTGTGGTAGCATTTATTATTAGCAAAGCTTCAAAGTTACTTTGTGACTAAAGCATATCTATTTCAAGAGTTGCACTGCTTCCCTCTGAGTATAAAGCATATTTGGAGACATTTGCTTAAAGGCCAAAATAACTGTAAAACATGTAAGGATATTGATGGAGCCAGTCCAGTTTCACCATACTTGGAAATTCTGGTCTTTGAAAAGGTTCTAGAATTAAATGGGATTTAATTTTTGTAGTGGATAGTTATTTTACAGAATATTGTTGCCCCAAGCCATACTGACAATCCAAAGGTAAGCAGGTTTCAGAAAAGTTTATGTTTTCTATTCTTGGGTGTTACATTTAGAGTGGGGTTAGACAGGCTCAGAGACTTAAACCTGCTAGGCTGAGATCAGTCTGTCACCTTGTTAACTTGCCTGTGGTCTGAAGACAGTGGTCATCACTGTTACCTGTGACTTGTTAGAAATGTGGACTTTCTCCTCACTTCAGACCTACAGAATTGGAATCTGCATTTTAATTAATTATGCATACTAAGGGTTATGGTTTGTGTGTGGACATCCCCGCAAAGCCTGGGCAGGCTTCTGGAGTTTTTGATTGATCCATGGTCCAATGCTGGGATTATGGGTGTGAGTGCTATAACCTACCCTGGGGGGTGGGTAGTTTGCATACAATATAAGGGAAGGAAAGATCCTTTCTCTGCTGCTCCTCCCTTTTTGCTCTTGTTGCTTTGCTGTTTTCCACCACCATTAACTGTTGCCCTGTGCCATGTGCCAACCTGCCTTGGAGCAAGCCAAGTATGGACTGAAACCTCCACAAACTGAGTTGAATAAACCTTTCCTTCTTTAATTTTGGGTGTCAGGTATTTTGTCTCAGCAACAAGAGAAAAGTAACCAAGACACTAACCTTTGAGGATTTGATCTATTTTACTATTACACATTCCATTCAATGCTCTGTCCTTGACTTTGTAGAATTTCTTTGTGATATTAATATACAGAACTATTCACTTATAGGGATGGAAGGAACTCTGAATGGTGTCATGAAAAAGTATCTGAGAAAGATGAAAACCCTGCTTTAAAGGCTTAACAGACAATGAATATCTGTCTTTCTTGCTGTATTATTTTCCTACAGCAACTGTAGGAAATGAACACAAATATGGTAGCCTAAAATAACACAAATTCATTATCTTACAGTTCTATGTGTTTGATATGGGATCTAAAAATCAAGGTCAGAATCAGTGTGTCCCTTTCTGGTGTCTTTAGGGGAAAATCTGGGAATTTTTGCCTTTTGCATATCACAGAGCCCATTCATTCCTTGGGTCCCAGTTGTCTTTCCCCATCTTCAAGGTGAGCAATGGCCAGTCTGGTCCTCACATCATTCTGTCCTTCACAAGTCTCCCTGACCAATAGGTTTTTCTATATCCTGTTTTTGAGGACTTTTGTGATTATATTGGGTTCATCTGAATAATCCAGGACACTCTTACGTTTGAAGCTCAGCTCATTGGCAACCTTATTTCTCTTCTGTCCTATAATATAGTTTCAGGTTCTGAGGAATGGGATATGGACATCTTTGGAAGCCATTATTCTGCTTGCCACACTTCTCTCATTCCTACATTTGTCATTGGTTTCTATAGAGAGCCCTTCCCAGTCCTCCTCATGGCCCAGGAAGTTTACATTTGTAATCTCATGAAAAGTTATTGGAATTTTAGCAAGTTAATTCCAATCTACCACTTCCAGCGCAACCCATGGCGAGAATAAAGACACTAAAGCATATGTATAGTTATGGGGAGCCAAGGGGTCGTAAGTCCAGCCATGATGATGACTAATCAGAACGAAGGCCTATACCTAGGATGGAACCCAGATTTTCTTCCTTTGTGAAGAAGGGAGTGGCTTGAGGATGGGTGATTGTGAGAGTGGGGGGAAATGCATGAGTGCCCTGAGGTAGACTAAGTAGGAAGCCTGAAATCACCTCTGTCATATGCAGAGAGAAGGATATGCAGAAAAGGTAATCTGCATAACTCAATTGAGATAGTATCTAATGTTTTGGGGTCAGTGCTTCAGCTCTGATGTTAATCTTTGAAGCCCCAAGAAGTCCTAGCGTGGAGCATTGGCTCACATATCCCGCCTTATCCTGGCTCACTCCATGGGGAACATGCCTGACATCTCCAAAGGCTACCATCAGCACCTAGCTGTTTCAATATGCATTGCTTAAAGCCAATTGAAGGGATAAGGAAAAGTCCTAGCCAGCTCAGTACATATCAGTACATGGACATGGGGTGAGGTTCAGCCAAAATGGAGGCAATTGCTCCTCTTTCAAGAGAGTCGCCTTGGTGGTCCTCCACAATTTCTGTTAGGAAAACTGTGTACTTGCCAAATTTAAATTCTTTATCCTATACCCATTTCCTTTCATTATGCTCTCCACACAGATAGAAAATAATTACCCATTACTTTTTTTAAAAAACAAACAGAAAAACCCGGGCTGCTTGGCTTTGTTTTGTGCATGTATTAGTCCTAATTTATTTTCCTTGAGTTCATGCACTTCCCTTGAACAGCTAACTCCACAGAAGGCATTCTGGGAGTCCTGTCTTTCCCCACCATCAACTCCCTAGCGTTTTGTTTCTAAATTGCTGAGCAGTGAACTACATATTATCTTTTCTGACTCCAGAAT